CGGAGCGGCGGGAGGGGGCCGGGACGGCGTCTGCGGCGCCAGCCCTGCCAGCGTGGCGTGGCTCCTTCTCATGGCGGACACGGTGTCCCGCGGATGGAGCCGTGCATCGCCTTTCGGCTGGCGCTGGCCAAGCAGTGGGGTGCCTTCTCTTCCCACGGCGGGGGAATGGTCGCAGCCGGGAGAGGTGGGTCTGGCTCTCTGGCTGTTACTGAAGCCAATTAATGTTTGCAGTGCCTAATTGCAGGCCAAAGGAGCGCTGCCCAGAGCGATGGGGAGCCCCTGAACGAGCCCCTTCGCAGAGCACTTCGAGCACGGGGGCTGCTCGGGCGCAACCAGCCCATCACCCCATCTCGAGACTGGCCAAAACCCCGTGCCAGCCACACCAGCCTGCTGCACGGCCCGGTGCTCCTCAGGGCGATTATCTCCTGGAACATGATTTCGTTATCAGTTAAACAACAACACGTGGTGTGATGGTTGCACTATGAATTTATTGGTGCGCCGTCCCTGCTGGGGGTGGCGGGCGCAGCCGGCGGTGCTGCCGGGGCCCGGGGTGACCGGCAGGCTGATGCTGTGCCTTGCAACAGCAACGCCAGGAAAACCACTGCTCCGGCGGCTCCATCAAAACTCCTGCGAGTTCCCTGAGGAGCCTGGTGGGGCTGGAGGAGGAGGGCAGAGAAAACCCCGCGGGCCAGGGCAGCTGCCTGCGGGGCGGCTGCTGGCACCGAGAATTGAGGGAGCACAGATTCCACCTAAGGAATCAAAAACCTGCGGTGTTATAATGCGGTGCCCTGGCATTTCCAGCTGGAACTGTTTTGATTCTCAAGTCTGAAATGAGTTTTTATTTTGAAATGCATTATTCATTTTCTTTTAAAAGGTCAAAATATAAATGAAACGCTTTAATTCACCTGAGATGAATTTATTAGTTTCTGTCTTTGGCAGGCACACGGTAACGCGACCTGCTGGCTGCGTGCCGCCGCCGAGGCGGGCAGCGCTCGGACACCGGGCTTGGGCCCTTTCAGAGTACTGCTCTGCTCACTTTGATGCACGCTGCAAAGCATCATATATATATATATATATATATGTATACACACGTTATACGCAGAGGCAGCGACTTTGTTTTTTCTCAAGCCACTTTTAATGAGGT